TTCTGTTCAGTATCATCTACGCTGACATCACGTCTGGAGTTATTGACGTGGGCTGCGTGGGGGAGGTGGTGAAGCACGAGTGCCTTGTCGATGACCGCTTCTTTCTCATATGCAAGGGTAGCAGTCGTTCAGAGTTGTCAACCTCGTCAAAACCAAGCCCTATCTGGTGGCTGACGTCCAGTGGTTGGAAGACAAGTGCCTGAGGACCTGGAGGTGCTGGCCTCGAAGGTCAAGACATATGTGAAGGATGTGATCAGGCTCTCCAACAAGTTGAATGGGAAGCCGAAGGAGGCAGCTCAGGACCTAAGGAAAGTTGTTCCCCACCCCGTTCTCCTTCTTTGTCGGAAGAACATTCGAGGGGGCGCCCAGGGAGCAGCAGGCCTTGCTTGAATTAGAGAAGACTACCACCAAGCTCAAGAGGCAGAAGGAGACTCTTCGAAACATGCTCAATTACTTGATTGCTGCGTCTGCTGTTAAAGATGCCTTCCCTTCATCGTCGTGATGATATTCGTTTTCCCAGATTATTAGAGGAAAGTCTTTATGCATCCTTACCTTCTTATAATGCGTAAAGCTTTTATTTTGTTATACTCCTTCCACGAGTAGAGAGCAAGCTGGATTTGTATAAGGCATGATGTGGATACTTGTCTAGGGCTAGCTATTGGACCATAGTATTTGCTCAATTCAGTAACTCGCCAGCCATGTTTTTTATTTGTTTTTTCTTTCTCAATGGCAGCCGAATTGGGCCATAGTGCTTGTGGTCCCTCAATATTTTCATGAAACTTGGACTGCTGCATATATAACTTTTAATCATTATGCCTCCTCATCTGCTGTTTAGTGTCTAATTATGCAGTTTTCAAGGAAGTCAGGGTGTAAGTGATAGCGACAATGGGAGTTCTAGTCTAAGAACTATAACTAGTACAGTACTAGTTCTAGTAGTGACAATTCTCACCATATAAGAGGAAAATATAGTCATTTCGATAAAAAATAAAACACTTTAAAAAATTCATGGGCTCAATGAGAGAATCATTATGGATTGTAGTCAGTTTTATAGATGAAGCACTTATATTGGCTTTTTGACCCATAATGTAGGTGGACCACGAAAGATATGAAAGCTCTCCCTCCAAGGAGAGAGAAAAAAACTAAATACGTTACGACCTTATCACTAGTTCAATATTGAAGTTGTTACTGGATAACACAGTATTTTCCTTTGTAAAATCAAGCAATCCTGTGACCTAGTATTTTAACATACCTTACCTTATATGAAATTTTGAACCCATATGATTCCATTAAACATGCTGCTACTGCTGGAATTCGAATTCATTGGTTCATGTTTCTCAAGCTGTGGGTTGCGAGTCCTTCTAATTCTCACATGCGCTTCAGGAAACTAATGTCAATATCTTTCTCGTTTTCAGATTGGCAACATAGGATACCTTTTAACTTTCCTCCTATTAACCTTTTTACTCTCTCATGGTTAACCTTTTCTCGCATTGTCTTGCATATTTACTTTACAATAGAACTTGCATATTTTCTTTAATTCCATAATTAACTAGAAGTGTGCGTCTACATATTTCCATTCGTCGCTGGATAAATCTCATCCTCTCACCCTCTCCCCATCTCTTCCTGACACACATACATGCACATGCATATTACAAAGGTCTTAGTGGAAGGGAGGCATATCCTAGCAAGGAAACTCATGGGCTACGAATGCACTTATTTGGGGCTTGAAGATGCATGACATGGGATTATGGCTAAGGTTCATCTGAAAGAGGCTTATGATGATGTAAAGCAAGACTTTTTGGAACATCTAATTTGCCACATGCATTATGGGGACAAGTGGAGGAGATTGATGATGGTATGCAGCTCACTGGTTACCCTCTAGTGGATTACTCTCTGAGGTGCTTCTTCAGCAGTTATGGAGGTTTACGATGAGCCTGTTTTTGCTTGCCATTATCTCTGCCATTTAGGATGACAATCTTGACAAGACCGTGTGATTGGATTGGGTCAATTCGAGGAGTTTAAGTTGCACCAGTGAAGAGGTTGTCACTCATCTTTAATTGTTGGATGGTACCTTGGTATGATCGTCTAACATGTCAATAACCTTCGTTTGGCAATTCAGAGATTTGAGGTTTCTTACCGTCAAAGAATCAACTGAAATAAGAGCTTGGCTATAGAGATTGGTGTTCCTAGCCCCGTGCAGGTGGAATTTGTACCAGGCCAGCAGTGAGGCTTGCCTTCATGTGTGTGACTAGATAAGAAGAGCCCATGGAGTCTAGTAATCGAGAGTTAGGCAAGATACCCCCACCCCCACCCCCACCCCCCACCCCTTCCTCTCTCCCCCCCAAAAATAAAAAAAGGAACCCCAAAAACGGGAGAAAAATTAGCCCGATGAAATTTTTACTCTCCTTTGCAAGGAGGACAACCACCCTCATAAAAGTAAAACATTTAGTTGCATAGTAATTCATTATGTTGTTATATCTTCTAGAGTTTAGCTGTTGCGGCACTCAAGATAGAGCATATCTCATGAGAGTTCCTATCAGCGATAACAATGAGGGCACAACTTTCACTAGAGCTCAAATATAGAAACACTTGAGCTTCCCTCTAAGTTTAACATACGAAAGGCATGCCATTTACAAAGAATCTGGAAGGGTGGGCACTGTCCTTGAACTCACTTAGCAACCCTAGAAGATTCAAGACAAGATACCATACCCCACCGGTTGCTTGTGGTTACATTTTGATATATATATATATAGCCCACAAATACTCCAATAGATCAGATTCTAAATTGGAATAAAAATTTTGCTAATCATACAAAAATTTCAGTAAATTCACAATTGTAAGTTCCCCATGTAAAATCAGCTAAATGATATTGTAACATAACTAAATGGGGATAGTATAGGATCTTAATCCATGGTGAGAAAAAAATTACATAAGAAATACAAAAAAAATCTATTGCACGTAACAGTACAATAATTGCATATACTAGATTGCAACTACTAGCACAGGATCCAGCACCAGCACATAGAAAGACACTGAAGCAGGAAGCTGATACACAATCAGAAATTCCATAGACATCTTATATGCAAATAATAGATTACTTAAAGACAAACATCACAAACCTAACCAATGCCATAGAACATAGAGGAAAATGAGAAAGTGGATAACGCATGCATGCATGGTGTTCACCGATGCACACACACGCGCGCACGCACACACACATATATAGAGAGAGAGATTCCCAAAGAAGGATAAAGAAATTAGCAATTACATATTAATATCTCCTCATGCAACTCTCAGGGGCCCCAACATTTAATAAAAGATAAGAGAACATGAACTCACGTGTTCTTGATTGATAGTACTTCCTCCATTGGCTTCCCCTTTACCCATTCAGTAGCTGCAAAACAGTTAATCAAAGATTCAAAACATCAACCCTCCAATCAGTTTCCCAAGGCAAAAGTCGTACATCATTCTACTCATTAAGAATTTTGTGACAATTAAGCAATGTTGTTACCAGATGGTGTAAGAAAATATTACCTTTTTCTTTCAATGGCATAAAGGTTGAACAGAAACAATTCCATGATATCAATTTATTACACAAAATTCTATTTAAACCAATATATACACAAAATTCTATTTAAACCAACATATATTCCCTGAATAATTCTGTCTAAGAATGAATCTGACAGCATGAGGAGCGAAAGAGACCAAAGAACAGAGAAAAAATAAAAGAAAAAAATTCTCTGCATGATAAGCATCCATCTGAAACTAGCAGGGACAGGACTTAAAAACACCAAAAGAAGGAAAAGAAGCAGAATACTGTAAACCAATTTTTAAAACTCCAAATAAAGAAGAGAAAGTGGAAGATTGCATATCAATTACTCCCCAAAAATATCACATCCTCAACATGAAGCTCCACCTAGGACCACCATTCACGAGAATCCTCATCAAGACAAATATAAGAATTTAACCCAAAATACGCTTTTTCCAGGATCACCATTATCAGATTAAAATCTTTTCTTTCTTTTTTGTTTTTTGAAGAAATGTTAACTTCTTAAATCAAATTTTGATAATCAAGGGAGTCCAAACCAGAAATATGTTAAAAAGAAAGTTACCTTATAACAAATAGAAGAAAAAAAATTGGCTCATTTAGACCTAAGATCCCAAATCAAAGAACTTCTCTTGTTCTTTCTCTTTTTAGACTGGTGAGTAAGGGGACAAGAAAACTACAAACCACACCATGGAAGCACACGAGGCTATTTATGAATGAGGCAAACTATAAAGAAGTTCATTTGTTTTCGATTACATTCCGTCGATTACATTCCGTCGGTCCAGAGAAGATGGGAAAAAGGGAATAAAATTCAACAAGAATATGCATGGGAAAACACAGATGCTAGCTTTTTTATTTTGCTCAAATAGTTAAAAAGAGAGTATTTTGATATTAGATGTAGCCTCAACTCAAGACTAGCCAGCTAAGAGTGCTCAATTGATCAAAGTGCTAGTCTCAATAATTAGACAGACCCTAAGCAGCGCCATCTCCAACAACACGAAACCTTGACAACACACCAAGAAATCAAATAACCCAAAAAAACAAAGAAAATAACACATAACCTTGACAACACACCAAGAAATCAAATAACCCAATAAAACAAAGAAAAGAACAAATCGTATAAGGCTGGCATGAGGAAATTGGGGACTTGATTCCACATCAACACAACAAAAATTAATCAAAATTTCCCATTAACGGAGGGAAGAATAAAAACCACTGCTTGCACATAAAAATTCCAACCAATCACAGGCAAAACACTTAATATCGAAAATTTTAACCCTGAATTACAAACAACAACACTAACATAAAATATTCAAAGTAATAAAATCTCAACTTTTAATTAGGAACTGAACACAAACAAGGAAACAAAACCGCCATGCAGTGAACAAAAAAAAAGAATTAATCCAAAGAGAAGGAAACATACAAAAAATTCAAAAAACTAACCAACAGAAGAAGAAGCAATAGCGGAGCCACAACCAAAGGTCTTAAAGCAAGCATCGACAATCTTTCCAGAGCTCTCATCAACCTTGATCTGCAACTTCATCACATCACCACAAGCAGGGGCACCAACAAGTCCAGTACCCACCGCTGGATCATTTTTATCAAAGGATCCAACGTTGCGAGGGTTATTGTAATGATCGACCACCCTCTCATGATAGAGCCTCAGGGCTCCTCCTGCAGCAGGCGCTTGAGCTTGCCTTAACCCTAAAACCAATTTTCGGCTCGCCTGTGACAACATTTTTGGTTTGGAGCGAAGAGCCCTCTCTCTATTGTCTCTCTGAATCGCTTTTGCAGGTTCTGAAAATCAAACGAGCGAATAATTCGTTGGAGAGAATGGGGATGCGAATTTATAGGGGAGGAGGGTGTGGGGTTGAATGAGGCGGTGAGCAGAGATGCGTTTTAGATTGACTACTATGCCACCTGTGCTTTATGCGAAAACTAGAAAAGCCCTATTGGCAATTGGGCGCAAGTCATCCCCCAGCCAATTTGTGGTCTCACTTTTCGTTCCCGCGAATAATTGTTTTCTACAAAAAAAACCCGTAGGTAAGAAGTTGTTATTTTTTAACATAAATGTGCTTTCCATACAAAAAATTTCAAATGGCGGTACCAAATTGTGTATTGTCGAAGCGTAGAATAACACTATCAGAATGCTTTGTAATGATTGTTGGATTAAAACAAGTACTGTCGGAGTGTTGTGGTTTCAAAAGGTGTACTGCAGCATCGCGTTCATCTACCGTCGGAGCGTTGAAAACCTGTCGGAGCGCCGTAATGCACTGCAGGAGCGTTGTGGCTCAGCGACCCTACTGCCGGAGTGCATTCATAGAGTGCCAGAGCGAAATGTCTCGTGTACTGCCGAAACGAGATCACGTAATGCCGGAGCAAATTCGTCTACTACCGAAACAAACTACCATACTGCTGGAGCGTTGTGGCTCCAGAAGGTGTATTGCCGGAGCGAATGTCTGTATCGTCGGAGAGCGCTTTTGTACCACTGGAGAGACGTATTCAAACGCCAAACTGCCCTGACACCAGAAGGTCTACTGCCGGAGCGAGTTTTCAGATCGTCAAAGCGTGTTGTCTTCGTTGCTGAAAAGAGAGAGAAAAGGCATGTGAACATTGGCATTTTAGACTTTTTTTAGTTTTTTTTGGGTTGAGGGAGTTTTGCGAAGATAAGTTGCTAATGGGAAAAAGGTGAAAGAATAAAGTTCGATGGGGTTAGTTGCATAAGTAGTGAACATTGGAGGGGTTTTGTAATTCTTATTTCTTAAAACCTTGGTGAAGATATCATATTCTTTACCCGTACGTGCGGAAAATCCACATAAATGGCCAAGGAAAAATTACAAAAAAAACCTCAAAAGACACTTTTTATGCAACTTATCCCCATTAACTTTTCTCTCTCACTTTTTTCCAAAAAAAAAAAAACTTTTTATGCAATACCCCCAACCATCCCAAAAACTTAAAAAATGGTAAAACTACCCTTACTTTACCCATTACCCACTTTTATATTCGGTATTGCGTAAGTGCGTTCCTGCAGTCTAACATAATGCTCCGACATTGCGTAAGTGCACTTCGGCAGTGTAACACTGTGCTCCAACAATATGTAAGTGCGCTCCGGTAATGTAGCATTTTGAGTCAGAGAGCTCTGGTACTATTTATGAACTTTTTCCTTGGGAGTATTTGTATAAAAAGTTTGTTTTTTAAAAAAAAATGAAAAAAAAAGTCAACCGGAAAAGTTGCTAATTTGAGGGGTTTATAAATTCCCTTAAAAAAATGGTTGACTCACGTCTCACCTAAAAATTGTGTCACATCAGTGGATTGGTAATATGGATTAGAGAATTGACTGATTTTACTTTGAAAAAAGTTTAAAAAATAATATAATTTTTTAAAAAGTTAGTTTTTAAGGTTCCAAAAACTAGTGGCACTCGCAATATGAATTTTCATTAGTGTCAAAAATATATAAGGTTTTCATTATTATGTCAAAAATATATTAAATATTGAGACTTTTATGAGATTGAGTGTTTGTTCTCTATTAAATTTATTTTATAATCAAAATAAAATTTAATAAGCAACATGACAATAAATGAATTTCTGTAACTCAATTTATTTATTTTATTTTTGTATTAGCTTAGGAGTTTTGATTTTTTAAATAAGCTATATAAAACAAATTTAATATAAAAAGGTTATTCATAGAGAGAGTTTTAGTGGAATTATAGTAGAGAGAGAAAGAGGGTTGCCTCTCTTGTTCTTTTTTTAAATTAAAATTACAATAACTTCTAGGTGGGTTGCCTTTGTTTGTTTTTTTTAAAAAAAATAAATTACAATAACTTCAAAAAAAAAAAAAGGCGACCATTTCGATCGGTTTTGTTTTGACATAACCTACCGATTCCTGACAGGACTGAACGATGCTGTTAGAGAGTCAGCCGCTTCAATGGGAGTCGGCCGCTTCAATGGGAGTCAGTCGATTCTCGATATATAACGTGAACATGATTAGTTGCAATGATTTTTGTTTCGGATCAGACAATTTCGATCCAAATTAGTGATTTTTAAAAACTTATTGTTCACTACTCTAAATAGAATACATCAAGGCCTACACTTATTATTGCGACAGATTTTTACATCTACCGTATCTAGTTTTACTGGAGGCGTTGATCATTTCTTTCGAGTTTGTAATAAAGAATAACAAAACTAGAAATTTATTGTCCATCAAGGCGAGCACTTGCTAGAGTACATTTATATCTATGGAAAGCTTTATATGCTCCCCCTACAGCATAGAAGTTATATTCTCCCCCTACCATCCTGCTGTCTAATTTTTATCAAAAGAGCCACTCACCATTTTATCTTAGATCTGATATCTCAATGTATTTTATTTTTAATTTTTTTAATATAAATTTTCTGAATGTGAAATTTGGTACGTGTCATCTTCTCATTGGGGTGCACTTATAAGAAATATTAACAATAATTTTTCGATAAAAAATAATGACCAAAATACCCCTTAAAATATTAGGAGTATTTTGGTCATTTTATATTATTAAATTTTTTTTATATATATTTTTCATTGGTGCAAGTTTAATAGAGGAATAGATATCTAAAATTTGGTATCAAAATAGTTTATAGAAAAAGAATTAAAAATAAACTAGTGTAAAGATGTGATATTGTGATTGGGGCAATCCTAGCCCTCCATTAAAAAATGGACGGTTGGATAAGGGAGATGTGTTGTAGGGGAAGCATAGAAAGCTTTCCCTTATATCTATAATGTCGAATTGTTTTAGATAGTACATATCATTTTTCCTTTTTCCTTGTTTTGCACCATATTTGAAGTTTCAAAAAATGGCGTAGATCAAGCAGATCTATGAACACTTGAAAAACTTAAAATTTGGCTGTCTAGATAATGCATTAGAAAATACACTTTTTTCAAGACTTTTTTTTTTTTTTTTTTTATAGAAATATTTTATATAAAGTTGCAACCTTATAGTGTAGAGCTACGGATGCACCTCAAAAATCCATCGGAAAAGGTAGTTTTAATGTTGAAAAACCCTTTGATTGGTCATCTCGACATCGAGATGTATGACTATAAAAAATAAAAAGATTTTACGTCTCAAAAATAGTGCATTTTACAACGTATTATCTACACCGTCTATTTTCAAGATTTTCATATGTTTATAGATCTACTTTATTTTAACCATTTTTGAAATTTTAAATTTTATAATTAGATATAAAAATAGATTTTGAGATAATCCTAATAACATTTTACATCAAAATTATATACCATGATAAAATTTGAATGCGCACCTTACATCTACAGCTATGGATGCATCCATATGCCAACTGCACCATTTTTTTATTATATCCATGTATTTCAAGGCCAAGATGATCGGGTTTGAAGATTTTTTGGCATTGAAACAACTTCTTATAGTGAATTTTTGAGGTGTGTCTTAATTTGATTGCTTAGAGCTTCAACCTTATATAAACTTTTTCCTTAAGTCATATATAGTATGCTGCTATGTATTTACTCTCCTAGATAAAACTCACGTTAAAAATATTTTTTAGATCCCACAATTTGGGGATGTACCCTCTAGAACCTACAACAAGATAACTATCCTAAAAAAAAAAAAAGAAAGAAAAAAAAAAACTTAAATAGGATTTTTGAGTGCTTAAAAAATTAATGTCCTAAAATCAAATAAGAACCAACCAATTTTGAAAGGGCAAGAGCTAAGTTTTCAAGAACTAAAACTCCCTTTTTTTTGAAAAATAATCATAAAAGAATTTTTTTTTATTTAAATAAGGTTGACATCTTAATATGTAGAATGAAGGAGCACCTCTAAAATCCTTCGAAAAATGTTGTTTTGATGTTGGAAAAACATCTAATTAATCATCTCGATATCAACATGTATAGATGAGGAGAAAAAAGAGATCTAAAGTCTTAAAAATAGTACATATTACAACACATTTTTTGGCCCATTCATTTTCAATATATCTATGTTTTTTTATATTAGATTCAAACTATTTTTGGAGTTTAAAACTATATAATTAGAGATAAAAAATATATCCTCATACTATTCTAAGAAGTTTTGGCACAAAATTGTATCTCATGACAAAGTTTGGATGTGCACTTTACTTTGATTGTTTAAGGTTGCCACCTTGTACAAACCACATTCATCATGTAATGATATTTAGATAGGAAAAAGTTTAAATAAAGTTGCAGTCTTAAAAGGCAGAATTGAGGTGCACCTAAATCCATCCTAAAAAGGATATTTTGATGTTGGAAATCTCTTTAATAGTTCATCTTAACATCAAGATGTATGAATATGAAAAAAAGAAGAAGATTTTGAGTACAAAAAATAGTACATCTTGCAACACAATATCTGGACAATCAATTTTCCAGAATTTAATGTATGTATAGATCTATTTGATTTGAACTATTTTTTAATTTTAAAATTTTATAATTAGAGATGAAAACCTATTCTTATGCTATCCTAAAAAGCTTTTACAAAAAATGTGTTTGTGATAAAATTTAGAGGTGCGTATTTTGATTGTTTAATGTTGTAACCTTATACAAACCACGTACGCCCATTTAGATAGACCCAAAAAATTTGAATAAGAAAATTTCTAGATTACTCTTTTAGCCAAGGGAATTGTTGTAGATTATGTTCCCAAGTGAAATAGAAGCACGTGTCTTTTATCGCACGGCACAACTGTCCACTTCCTGGAGGGTGGTCCAATTGCCTAGGTAGTACGTATTTATTATTATCCATCGTAGCAGTCTGATCCCAACAGTATGGGCACAAGAACCATCAGCGTCCTTCTTTTCAACTTTCGACACCACTGTGAGTGCATGACATCAAATAATCCAGTCGCATTTTTTTCTTTTTAACAATTCTCCATGAATCACCGTCCAATTTATCATTGACCAGTGATGAAACTCATCCGTATTCTGTCACCGTTCCTACAAGGACCATACTGTTTCACATTTCCATATTCACAATCTCCTTCATCTCTGGCCCTATAAAAATAGCTCTTCAGATTTGTTTAGTGCCTCCTTGTTACCCACCCATCTAGCGGAGCTTCATCTCGTTGCTCCTCCGAATTCGTAAGCCCTTCTCTCTCTCTCCTCTCTTTCTCTCTCTCTAGAGAATTTCTCAAGTGAACCCTACAGCTTATTCTCTCTGAAATTCTCTCTCTCAATGTTTGCAACCCTAATTTTGGTAGAATTTTTATCCTCCTGCATGCTTAGATTTCTATTGAATCTGGCGCTCTGAGGGCTTTAATGTTTTATTTATGAGGTTTTGGATTCATGATCTTGGGGTTCTAAAGTTTGGTGCTTTTATCTAATTGGTCTTGATGTTATATTGGTTTGGACGTTTTGGTTCTGTTTCTTATGATCTGATTTCATGGGATCAGATTTTTGATTTTAGATGTTAAGTATGCTGGTGGTTTCTGGGTTATAAGTTATAACTGCTGGATCGTGGTGATCTGGTTCCTGGATTTGGGGTTCTAATCATCTGGTCCTTCGAATAATTATGGGGTTTACTAATTTGGTTATGGTTTATTTTGTTCTGATGATCTAATAATTTATATTAAGGAGGCAGATCTAGTTATAGGGTTTCAATGGCTCTACCTGTATTTCTTTTTGATTCCAATAATGCATTTTCTTATAAGTTGTATTTCATTTGCAACGATCTGATAATGATATATTTATTTAATGTGCTTGTGGTGGTTATTAGGGGAAAAATGGGGCTCACTTTCACAAAGCTGTTCAGCCGGTTGTTTGCGAAGAAAGAAATGCGTATTCTAATGGTTGGTCTTGATGCGGCTGGTAAGACCACCATATTGTACAAGCTCAAGCTTGGCGAGATTGTCACCACTATCCCCACTATTGGTAAGTAATCTATCATGAAAAATGTTGTACTCTCCACTATTGGCTAGAGCGTGTATACTATGCTTCCACAGGAGCATACTGTGCATCTACACCCTCACTTGAAACACTTATTTCTCGCTTGGAACTCCTAAATCGCTTGAAACACCTATTTAGGAGGATTTTGTGGTGTAAAATTTTGGGAAGAAGTACTGGATGAATATTTTTAAAAGAAAATTTTGAATTTTGAGTTTTGTGACACATAGATCTAGCCATTCAAAGCATAAGTTTTTCTAGTACATAGAGAGTTTATTTGGAATTTTTTTTTTGCTTAGATTATTCTATCGGTTATAGAGTTTATGTGCCAAAAATTTTGGGATCCAAAAAGTTTCCCTAAAATGGATAGTTTACTCGAGAGTAGGAAATTTTTTGGCTTATTTTTAATGATGTATCATTTGTTAATTTATTGATAATTTCCATTTTGATGTGTGAATTATGATTGATTTGCCTGAACGTCATGCATAAATGCTCCAATTTCAGAAGCAATTGAAGACGTATTTTGTGATTAGAATCTTTGTGATATATTGGTACTGTAAACCCTGATGTGGCATAGAAGTGTAGATTGTTCCTAGCGCATGTGCTCTGACCATTCGTTATTGTCTTGAGGGGTATATCGTATTAAACTTCACACGATGATTATTTAATCGATGTGGATGTGACAATGGAAAAGATATCTGAAGTGCTGAATGTTTAGGACAACGGGACATGCCTTATGAACCTATGTTTAGGAGATCCCCTTGTTGCTATAGTTTGTTGTATTGTTTAAAAAATTGCCAGGCCATATTGGGACTCACTCGAGTCAGGCAATTCCAGGACGAAAGACCTTGGAATTGCTTATTCTCCCAATTTTTCATATCCAAATTATGTTGTCTGTATTGGAATTGCCCATGTCAGGACTGAGGGGACTGGCACAGGGGCCTTTGGCGAGTTAGAGTCTGATTTTGATTATTGAGCACGTCTTTGTTGTGTTCTGTGCTTCATTTAGTTTAAAAATATAGATTACTCACCCAAAAAAAACAAAAAATACAAAGATTAGGGAGGGAGAAAACATAATATCTTGGTACATTCCTTCTTATGAATTGAGTCTATTACATCTATTAATATGATCCACCCATACTTTTAATTACTGTTTGACTACTCTGTCTGAGTGCCGAGTAGTCGGGCCAAGTACCCGGGCTCAGCATCTTGGTGAGCCCAAGTTACCCCAAGTTGGGTGTGCCACTAGGAGATATTAAAAATAATTCAAAAGAATCATAAAAAATTTCAAAAAATAAGGAATTTATATGTGATATGTTTTTTGTATGTTTTTTATCATTTTGGCAAAGATTGGAAAGTATTTTGGCCATAAATACTTATTTTCACATTTTCCCATCTTGTTTGGATTATTTCAAAAATACCCACCAGTCACAAGTTGATCTTTTAAAATCCACTTTTTACTATTTTTTTTAACCTCATTTTGAAGTGTTTTGCTTAATCTTACTTTAAACATACATTTTTTTTTTTTGGATTTTTTGTATTTTGTATTTTTGAACCTTTTTTTTGCTGCTACAGTTCTTGGCACTACTTGGGCCGAGTCCAAGTGATTCCGCCCGAGTACTTAGCTCGGACCTTAACCGGGTATTCTGCCCGAGTTGACCTTTCTAATACTGCATAGTAAATGGAACTTCTACTTTTTTTCTTTTATTTATTTGAGCTGTTTCATTTTAGATTCCTTTGTTCGCTGATAAAGTCAAAATGAAGATCCCTAAGAGAGTAGGTATTCGGTCATCCAAGTTCCCTTAAAGTTATGTACAGATTTGTCCCTCGGTGTTTGTTTGATCTCTATACCATTCTTCCTCCTTATCTGATGCCTCCCTCAATTTCTAGCGTGTATAACCAAAAAATAGATAAGAAATTATGGTGGGCAGCAATTTTATAGTGGGCTGTAGGGGGAGACAACCAGAAATTAAACTTTTTGATATTGTTAGGTACTCGAAATGGTTGGTAAAAATTATGGATATTACCTGTTTCTTACATTATATTGGAATTCATTCTCAGGAAATTAGAATGTTTATTTCTATTTTGTTAGAGCGATGGAGTTGTTTTGAAACATAAAGAAAGGATAATGCTTTCATATTATTTAGAAATTTCTTGCTACTCCTATGCAGGAAAAAATAAAGGAGTAAAATGGAAAATAGTTAGATAACAAGAGAACACTATCCTTTTATGTTTCTAAAGTTTGACTCATGAAAGTTAAATCAATTTCTCATAAAGTTCAAGGAAAAAAAGTTTGGTCAAATTGATAAAAGAAATGGATTTAGTTTTTGATATTTTTGTTGCGATCCCACAGTAATATAGATGAAAATCGTCATCATTTGAGCCTTATCTTAACTATTTGGGGTCAACTACATGAATCTTGTTCCACCATTCCATTCTATCTAGGGCCATACCCTTAGTCAGACCACAAGTCATTATATCTCTTCTTAGTACTTACATCTATGTTCTTTTGGGCCTTCCCTTTGTACTTTTAGGGCCTTTCACTTGAACAAAATCACTCCTCCTACCCGGTGTTGTTGTAGGTCACCATTACACACATGGCTAGCCCACCTAAGTTGACATTCCCTCATCTTATCGCCTATTGGACCCACTTTAAGTATCCTTGGACGTATTCATTCAGATTTCTATCATTGCTTATCTTGCAACTCATCTATTTCAACATCCTCATCTTAGCTACACTCATTCTATAGATATGCCCTATAAAGCATGGCTGGTCTTACAGCCATTCTATAAAACTTTCCCTTTAATTTCATTGTTATGTGATGATCACATAAAACACCGGAAGCACATCTCCAATTTGCCCACCCAGCTCTAATTCTATTTGCGACATCTTCCTCAATCTCTCCATTCTCATGGGTTATCAACCCAAGATATCAAAAATAATCTTTATTAGGTACTTCTTCTCCATCAATTGTAACTACTTCTTGATTTCTACTCCTATTATCAGTAAACTTGCATTCTATATATTCTGTCTTAGTTTGGCTAATTTAAAACCTTTAGATTCTAGTGTGTCTCTCCAAAGTTCTAATTTGGTTACCAGCTGATATCCCTAATCCAATATTAGGATTGTATCATTTTCGTATAATTTCTTGAATTCTAGGACCGAATGTCACAAGTATGTTATGGAAAGTCTTCCTTTCACAGAAAAAGGACTCTGGTTTGTCTATTTCTAGAAAAAAATATTTGATTTGGGGATTGGCTTCTTTAGAACTTCAAATTATTTTGTTTGACTCCATGTGGCTTTCACCAAAGATAATATCATTTATATGTTTAGATGTTTTCTTCCTTGTGAGCACCATTAAAATCTCAGTCTATTTGTTTTCAAAGCACCATGATATTGGAAGTGGAGATTCAGTCTGTGGGTTGCTGTATGGAGGGATGTGAAGTCATTGGCATTTCTTCAAAAAAGGAAAAAAAGAGATGTGAAGTCGTTGCATGTCCCATTAATATAGTATACATTTATGATAAAAAGAATTATACTAGTTCTAAATTATCAAATCTCTCTAATGGTCCCACGATTCATTCTTCTACAAATTATTTGGTTGGATGACTGATAACCTTCTAGTTATGTCAATCCATTGAGTTCCTACTTACCCAAAAAAAAAATTCCATTGAATTCCTTTCAGCAATAGTTTTTCAAAAGTTTGTATTGTTAATTGTTCAAAAGTTTAGTTCTATGAAAATGCGGACAAAATTCTTTTTTTGTCAGGTAATCAATATTGGTTAGTTTCGGACTCTTTGCTCAAGAAAGTAAACTGACATTCCTTTTGAACGGACTTAGAATGTAGACATCCTCATTATGGTTGTATGGACAATGGCACCCACTTTTTGGTTTGCTTGTCCGTGTCCAGGAAATTCATGGCATTCAATGTATTTTATTATAGCTTTAATCGCTACAGTTCCCAGGTTTTTTGATTTACTATTTCTTTGATAGACCTTTTTCTTCTAGCATTAGAATCAAATGCATTTGTGTCATTAGCTGATAAATTTAGTTTATATATGTACAATGTACTTTTGTCATTAGAAAAGTACATGCTACCTTTGCGCATGGTTTGACATGCTTTTCCTCCAATTTCTTGGACGTGGCCTAATAATTGAATTAAATAGTTTTCTTTCTTTTGAATGCTGTATTTAGACTTTAACAATTCGATCTTTTGGACTGTCACAAGGTAGTGTACTAGCTTTTTATTTTAACCTTTTGCTTTTCCTGGAAATAAGCTTGACCTTCTCCCCTCGTTATTTGTTTAGTCATTCAATGCAATGTAGCTACTACTGTTTAGACTTCTGTTACAACTCATTTGTGCGCTTCCTTCTAACAAGGTAGGTTGCTATTGATGTGACTTTACTTTAATCATGGGTTGGTGACTTTGGTCTATGGAGTTTTAGGCCTTTGTAATGAGAAAGGGAATGACGGTTAAAAAGTTCCAATTATCACAATCTTAAGAATAAAAATTTCATATATATGGTCTAACTGGTCTTTGCATATCTCTTTCTGTCCTTGTAATGTCTAATGCTGTTTACCTTAATGAACCTCTAACAGTGGGTTGTGCTAGCGACAAAATGTAACACATTTTTTTCTTATTGATACATGCTGAGTTATTCTTATTGTGGTTTTTTCAGTTTGGGTTACATTTGTGTACATTTTCTTTGTTCTAAGCTCTATGTTAGGGCTTTGATGCCTGCTGCTCCCCTCCCTGACACATGTGAGCTACTAATGGGGCTTGTTGTAGATATAGCTCCTAGACCTCCATTGTTAGATGCTATACTAAGACCCATTTCTTGATATCATCTTAAACAAAGGTTCTCTCCAACCATGGAAAAAGGAAGGTTCTTTCCAACCATACTGTCCAAAGGCTTTTATTTATTCATTTGAGGATGCAGTCTCTGTGAAGTATCCTCATTCTCCCATGAGTTATTATGGCCAGTCTTGAATTTGAGCTATGACATTTCCTTTTTATGTTTGATGTTGTTATTGCTCATCTCTTGCATATGTTCCAGTTTTTTTTTATCAATGTTGTTGGATCTAGGCCATGTTACAAGGACATGGATGCAAGTGTCAATGTCCATCATGGACACAGAAATGCGAACTCAAAAGCCATTCAAACACGACACACTCATAGATTATTTTAGAAGGGGTGAGGGGGGCTTTTAAGTGACATTTTAATACTTTCATAGTAAAATCTTAACAGAAAAAGTGAAGCAAAAATGTCTCAGTTTTAAAGGTGTCAGATATACATGCCGTGCACTTGGTCCATATGCCCAAAACCTTGGCGATGCATGCAAGTTACAGGGGATCAAATTGTCCACCTGCATAATTCAAACGATGTAAAAGTAATAGCCAATCCTTTAAAAACTTTAGAAACCCCCTTTGAAAAGTCCTGATTATGAGTTTTTCCAAATTTAGGTGCCGAAAAATATCTCATTGCTTCCACCCTCTCCTCGTGATTATACCAAGTGTGGTTGAGGTCCCTGATGATGTAGTACGGCCCGATTCACTGTCCTCTTATCTTGCTCTTTCCCAGATTTTGCTCTGAAGTCTGGTATTTATTTGGCCTATAGACTTCTGAACAGTTAATCGAGATTTCTTCTTATCCATGTGTCCATTACCTTCATCATGGGCTGGTTTGGTGGTGTGTTAGGAAATGTTGATATCTGAACCATGCAACAGAGTCAGAGCACTAATTTGCCTAGGCCCCTTACTTGATATCTTTCCTTTTGTATTCTCTTTTTTCTTGATATGAACAAGAAGAATTGAAAAAGTCACACTCCATTTTAAAGTTCGTTGTTCGTTGTTCGTTGTTGTTGTCGTCGTCAAGGTTGTTATGATCATGATGATGATCATCATTGTTGTCATTGTCATCATGATCGTAATCACCGTCATCATTATTTTTTACATTGTTGTAGTTGTTGTCCTTTATTATTATTGTCTTATGAAAGTTATTGGCGTATTGATTTACCTGTATTTTTATGTCTGATGGATTTCGGATTTGTGATAAAATGTTGACATGCTTTCGGAATGGAAGGAGCTTTTGGTTTGTTCTGCTGTGACGTGCTTATTCCACTTCTTTTGTTGGTCAGGATTTAATGTGGAGACAGTCGAGTATAAGAACATTAGCTTCACTGTTTGGGATGTTGGTGGTCAGGACAAGGTACCGAGATCATTTCTTTTTGTAATTTTTGGGTGGAGGTTTGGATTTAATCATCTCGTAATGTGTTCTGAGTAATAACTTCTCATGCACCTGAGTTGTTTCAGCAGTTTTGTTTTTGTGTGTGTGCATGTTATTTATTTATTTATTTTGAATGTTCACTTGTATTAAGTATATCAAAATTTACAGAAATTGTATATCAAAAATTTAAAAGATTGGCACCCCCTCTAGAGGGTTGCCTAACGGATCTGCCCCAGGAGGACCAAAAAATTCTTTACATGAGGGAAGAAAAATACACCATTATTTTGCACAAACATTAGACCATCAAAGAGTGGTGGACCACCAAACAGCACTGTCCCCAGCCTCTACAATTTCTACTCCCAAATCCTTGCATTGCCAAGTCATCCACCTCACAAAGCATATCTCATTACCCATCTAGAAACCACATTGGCACAATCTATACAACCAGACCTAACATCCAAGGCCCACAAACCGCCTCATACATCTCATAATCCATATCCATCTCCATCTCCGACTCCGACCTCTACCACTCAGATCCAGATTATACATGATCATTCCTGAAAACCAGACTGAATTCACAGTTCCCCAAACCCTCCTTCATCTCTCCCTTGACAATCATCATCATCATCCAAGCCTTATCCCAATTTTTTGGGGTTGGCATCTATCCCTTGACAATACGTTCCTAAAATAATCCTCTGCTGTCCTGCCAAAATCAGAACCTAAGACCCTCTAACCTCAGAAAGTAAAACAACCTTTTCAGATGGCAAGCATATCTTAGTTCGGGAAATATCAGTGTAAAGAGCACCCTTTTGCGGTGCATCCACCTAGACATGACATTTTACGACATGATACAGTTGGCCAAAAAGGGGTGGAACAGCCCCAACATTTGCTGCTATTTCCTTGAGGGGCTTAAAATCCCCACCGTGAGGGTGGTGGGGCAATTATTTATCTCTTTCTTCCCAAAACAATGAACAGAGAATACTCGAGATAAATGGAAAGAGTTCCAAAGGGCGTCGCCTGCACCTGAAACCATGGCCACCCTCTTTGAGTGCTAGAACTTGTGAGAAAATTTGGATCAAAGCTCATGGCTTCCAAATGCACGCCTGGCACTGCAAAGTCTTCTGGTAGTTTTGTTAGGTTAGACTTGATCTCCTTCGACTCTCTATCTCTAGGCATTTTGTAGATCTCGGTTGAAACAATTGACAGATCAACTGTCCATGAAATCGTCTATCCAGCCATCCTGGCGTCAAATACTTGGTTGAGTTGGTTCAGATCATCCAGTTTCAGAGCACTTCCAAAACCAGTTTGGGGGGGGGGGGGGGGGACTCTAAATTGGAAAAACCAAAACCAAGCTTGTCAGGACCAAGCATGAGACTGATAATGTTGATTGCGAAAATCATGGTCCGCCGGAAGAATCACCGTAATTAAGAACTTGGGAGCCTGTACATCAATGATCATTCGAGAGAAGGGACCGCATGGAAAAGAGATGGACCTCAGTGAAGCTAGAGATAATCCACTTCATCCCACTTCAATCCTGAAAAACATGCCAGCAATGAAATATCTTGAATGCTGGAAATTCAGATTTAAAAACCAAATTCAAATTGAGGGTTCAATTCATTTTCAAACAACAACCCAGATTCAAATTTCAAGATTCAAAATTATCCCCACCCTCATTGTCCCCATGTGTCCCCAATTACCCATACATGTGTTGATCCTTTTGCTTGGACCAAACAAAGCCACGTCAATCTCCTTATCCTACTGTCCACTTGCACCCCCAACCGATCTTCAACCATACACACAACCACTAAAATGCAAGCACCAGACGCTTCCTTGTCTCCTGGCATGCATCTGGTACCTCTCCTTAACTTGATTGAACAAGTTATGCCTATGTCATTCATGCCAGCTGAAAACAAAATGCAGTTGACATGAATCCTACCACCCATCTCGTGCCCTTCGACGGTGGTTACTTCCCACCTGAGCAAGTACTTAATCAGGGGATACTCCCCTACTTAGTGGCCTGTGTACAAGGTTGGCAAATTTTGGATGATGCCTTAAATGCACAGAGTGCTTACAAGCAGACATCAATCCAACAGTCCTGGCCTAATTTGCAAACTAGAATTGGAGAAGGCCTTTGACAATGTCGATTAGGGGGTTGTAGACCAGGTAATGACTTTAATGCATGAGCATGGAGCTCACTTCTCAATTTTGATCAATGGAAGGCCCCATGATCTTCTTACCCTTCTTGCAGGGTTCATGCCTAGGCGACCTATCATAGAGGTGGTGTTCTGTAGATTCATCACCAACTTGTACAATCAGAACCTTTCTATGTGGGTTCAAGACCTATTGTGGATGACCCCATATCTCCCACCTATAATATGCAGATGACGCTGTGGTCTTTTATGATGCGTGACCTCATGTGGACAACCTTTGTTGGTTCATCAGGTGCTTTCAAATTACAAATGGGCCCATGTGTAAACATGAAGAAGACGAAAATGATGGGGATTGCAATCTTCTCATTGCGTTCTAGACCTTGCAAGGAGGATAGGGTGTGGTACTGATATTCTGCTGAACAAGTACTTAAGGTTCATTATGCATTGGAAAGCCAAGGAAAACCCAGTGGGATGCCATTGTGGAAAGATTCGATTATAGATTGGCATTGTGTATATTATACTTCTTGTCACTAGGTGGTAAACATAAATCACCTTGATGAACGCCATTCTAGTCAACATCCTCATTCTCCAAATGTATATTTTTCAGATACCCATGTTTATAGTTTTGGGAAGTTGGAGCCTCTCATGTGTGATTTCTTGCAGAGCGGCATTGGTGATGCTCATAAGTTCCATCATGTTTGATTGGAAATGGCATGAAAACCAAAATGTGCAGGACTGTTGGGATATATAAGCCTCGGATATTGCAACTCAAACCTATTAGTAAACTGGTGGTTGCGCTGTGGACATGATCATGATCATCTGTGGCAGCCGGTCATCAAACATAGATGTGGACGGACAACTCAGATTGGCTGCTTTAAATCCAGCCGTTGCTTGTTCTTTGGGTGCCTGGAAGGGTGTCAACAGTGTTCATGAAGGTTTCTTAAGCCAAATTATATTTTTTACCTAAGTGGTGGATTGTAAAAGGTTGTGGAAGGATTTTGGCTTGGCCATCATACCCTCAAACAAACCTGCCCGGACCACTTTTGCAGTAGATGCGGACCAGGAAATCACAATCTCTCTTTAGTCGAAGCCTTCAACTGCTGGGAGACCTCATACCTGACTTCTGTCCTACAACTTCCATTTCATCCTTAGATCTTGCCAGGGCATATTCATCTGGTGTCCTTTGCTAATAGTTTCCTTCTCAGTCTCCTTGTTTTGTACTCAACCTTCCAAGTCCAGATCTTGTCAATGCTGGGAGGGCAGGGTGCATATCTGCACCCTCTAAGGTAAGGCTTTCAATTGGTTGGCAATCTCTGACCACTCTAGACTGTATCTAAAGATGGGATTCAATACCTAATAGTTGCATCATGTGCAGAGTAGTCAAAGAGACCATTCCCCATCTATTCATCCATTGTAAGGTGACCATCCCAAATTTGGTCTTTCCCCAATTTGTTTGAATTATCATGGGTCACACAGGTACCAGGTATCATGCTTTGGTGCTTATCCATACTAGTCAGAGTTTGGGGCTCTGGGCCATATGGCTAGAGCTCAACCAGCACACGTTCGACCACACCTACCATGACCATCATCAAAGGCCAATAGAAACAACCATTGTATTCTGAGGGTATGCTTGTAAATAGCTTAAGACATTCTCATCCATGGACTTGGACATTTAGTGAAACATATCGTTTGGTCGTTACTGCTCTGGGTATCAAGCTCCTCTCAATGGCTTCCACCTGATCATAGAGTCATCAAACTAAATTGCAAAGGGAGCTCTACTGGAAATCCAGGACATGTCAGGATTGGTGGTGTCTTTAGGAATCACATTGAACAAATCATACTTGCTTTCTCAGGCCAGGAGGGTTAATGGTTGTGTAGACACATGCCTTGCTGGATGGTCTCCAAGTGTTAGATTGATCTTGAGGCACCAACTTATTGATAGGAGTCTGCCAAATTGTTACTATTTGGGTCATAGGGACCTCTCCATTCCCTTGGAGACTAAAACAAGAAAAAAGGGCTTGCTTCTCTTATTTGTTTTTTTCGGACGAACTCCAGGGGATTGAATCCTTAACCAAATTCTCCAAATGCACAACGCAATTCTGTCACCACTATTTTGTTGTCCTTTCATTTATACTGGCCAATTTTGAACTTCTTTACATTATTAACACAAAGTCAATTTCTGAAAAAGCAAGTAGTTTGATTATTCTTCCATGTTCTTGACACAAGAAAATCCTTCTACTTGTCTCCTTTTTACCCAATCTGCATTGAAGTTCAGACAAACTGCATGTATCTATTGGATTATTGTTTGATTGTCTTTTGTGAGGGAGAGAAGGAATGTTGGACATACACTGTTTCTTTTTTTAATGTTAATGTTGTTGATTTCCTTTTACAGATCCGGCCTTTGTGGAGGCATTATTTCCAGAATACTCAGGGTCTTATCTTTGTCGTCGATAGCAATGATAGAGATCGTATTGTGGAGGCCAGAGATGAGCTTCACAGGATGCTGAACGAGGTAGGAAATTCGTCCTTCAGTGATGCTGATTATGCTTTTATTCTTCGAAGAGATCTCAATTTTTTTGTATTCATGAGCATAACTAAAATCCAAATTATAGTTCGGTAGAATTCTTACCTTTTAAAATGCCCTCCAATAGTTGATTCTCTTTTTGATCCTGAACTGCTTGATCATTTGTTTTCCCTATATTTTTTCCATCAGAAGTAACTGAATTAATTGTTGGTGATGGGGTGGATGCTCTTTGTTATTTCTCAAACTGGAAATTCTTTTTCCTGAAACCCACATGCTGGAAATTTGCAATTCTGGGAGAAGTAACTAATTTAATTGATGGTCATTGAGTGGATCCTATCTCAAATTTCTCAAACTAGAGATTCAGTTTTATGCATACATGGTAACATGCTGGAAATCAAAGATTCTGGGCGTCATGTATATTATTGTTATACTAGTAATCAAATATTCTGGGTGTCATGTATATTATTGTTATACTAGTAATCAGAGTTTCTGGGCGTCATGTATATTATTGTTATATATGTTGTCAGCAGTGTTTAAAGCTCCGGCGGTCCAACTCAGATTCGCCTGAGTTACTTAGAACCGACATCCAACGTGTTCAGGATATGCCAGATTTGGATGATAAGTTTAATTGGAGTTTTTTCTGAGTCTACGCGAGTCTCTCCAACATTTCGAAAGTTCAGCTAATTTTCTTCGAAAAGTACGGTTTTATATAATAGGAGTCTTGGAGCTGACTTGGGACTCTCCCGAGTCACTAGCCCGAAGTCCTGTTCCATTTCTAGCTCGGTTCCGTGTCTTTAAAGACTGCTTGTCAGCTTCTATTGCCCCGTGGTTGTCATACGTGCCCTGCTTTTGTTTTAGGGTTTGGGAAATACCTTGATGTTTTTAATTCCTGGCCCCAACTACATTATCGGTTTAGAATATCCCATAGAAAAATTTATATACGGATCATATTAAGGGGGGGGGGGGGGGGGGGTTGAATTACAAAATGGTAACACGTTTGTCCCAAATTATGGGCGGCACCCCCTCTCCCTGGTGTTTTTTCACCCAAGTGACCCCCGCTTCCGGTAAACCGAACACCTGATAGGTGGGTTTTTTAGTTTGAAAGAAAAATAGAGAGCTGTCTGGTAATGCAAATACCAGACAACTCTATGAATCCCCAAAACCAACTCTGCCATTTCTTTCTCTCATTTCTCTTCTATCTGACGCTCTCTTTCCTCTCTCTCTCTCTTGCTACAACCCAGAGCCACCAAACTGGCTGCTCGGTTGCTTAAACGAAACTGGTTGCTCCGCTGTTGGCAAGGGTGGTTTTTTTATGTTGTGAAAAATCTTGTTTCCAGGGCCTGTAGCCTTTGGTTCAGGGCGAAAAAATTAGGTTTCTTTCTCTAGAAAGTAGGGTAATTAATCAGGCATTTTTGAAGGGGCTCTGCATTGTTTTCTTTGTGGATTAGAACCGGGGGTTCTCTCTATGATGAATTTGGGCCTTTTCTCTGTTTTTTTTCTGCTGAGAAAATTTGGTTTATGGATTTTCCTTGAGAATGATGAAACTTGGTTTGTTTCTGAAAACATTGAAGATTTGTTGATTGTTTTAGAGAGAGAGAAAGATGGGGGTTTGTTGCAGTTATGAGGCAGTTGGTTCTCAAGAAGAAGATATCAACAGTTCTTTGTAATAAAGGGCACAGTTAGTTTTATATTCCAAGATAGTTTGATTTACAACAAATGACTCCTCTGCTGAATAATGGGCAACTGGATGGCTTGTCGGGTCAAACCGCTCGATCAGGGCCTCCGCAAATAGGACACCAATCGCTGAGTCGGGCTGCCTGAATCTGGTGTGCTTCGCCAAAGCTCCACCAGGAGACTGCAGCATGGCCAGGATCAGAGTCGATAGTCCGTGCTGCATCCAAAAGCGACAGGAGCAGCAGTGGTGGTGGCAGATTTGGTTTTATATTCCAAGATAGCTTGATTTACAACAAATGACTCCTCTGCTGAATAATGGGCAACAGGATGGCCCGTCAGGTCGAGGCGCTCGATCATGGCCTCTGCAAAATAGGACACCAATCGCTGAGTCGGGCTGCCTGAATCTGGTGTGCATCGCCAAAGCTCCACCAGAGAGACCGCAGCACCGCCAAGATCAGAGTCGATAGTCCGTGCTGCATACAATAGCGACAGGAGCAACAGTGGTGGTGGCAGATCCCTTTTCTCCTTCTCGCCAACTCTTTTTCTCTCCTCATCGTTAAGGATCGGAAAGATTAGGTTTTTGACATTGTCTTTGGGGAGAGCCAGCCTGTTTAGACGTTCTTCTGTGTCACTTGGGGTTAGGGTTTTAATACTGACTTTAGTAAAGTCTGTAGCACCCGAACGGAGTTTGTGCTGGAAAATGGGGCTTTTTGTGCAGAGTAGAGAGAGAAAGAGAAGATGGAGAAGAGAGAGAAATGGGTCCTCACATTAAGAGACATTGTGAAAGGAAT